GGGAGCTGGGGTTCCTGGCAGAGACTGGGATCTGCAACTCTGCATGCTGTGTTCATCCAGGACAGAAGGACCAAAAACTGATCTCTGCTAAGGGGCTTTAATGGTTCCAGGCCTGGTCTGACAAGCCTGCAGAGTCAGCCTGTGGTTCTGGTGATGAGTGGCATCTGTGGGCTGTTCATAAGTGTTGGTGCTCAGGGGCTGTGGAGAAAGGTTAGCAGGGGTGTGACTGGACAGAGATGGGAGGAGGTCTGGAGGAGGGTGCACATTCCTGGAGTAGGGACTATGAGCAAGTTTCCCATGTTACTATGTATATGAGTTGGGAGGACAAGTGGGAGGGGCGGTGTGTGTGTTTGCGAAAGAGCAAAGATGCAAATAGAAATGTGGGTGAGCCAGGCCGGTGTGGCTCAATGGTCAAGCGTCAACCCATGCACCAAGAGATTGCTGGTTTGATTCCTGGTCAGGGTACATGCCCAGGTTGTGGGCCAAATCCCCAGTGGGGGTCGTGCAAGAGACGGTTATCGATGTTTCTCTCATCTATGTTTCTCTCTCTCTCCCTGTCCCTCCCTCTCTCTCTCAAATCAATAAAGAAAAAAAAAAAAAATCTAGTTTAAAAAAAAAAAAAGAGTAGTGTGGGTGAGGAGAAAGTTTGGCAGATGGCATGTCTGGGGCGAGGGGAGGTATGGAGGTGTGTGTATATATAAGAAGTTAGGATCTAGTTGTCCCCAAGGAGGGTCAGTCTTGCATGGGGCTGGGTGTTAGACCCCCTGAGTGTGTCCTTTAGCAAGTTATTAATCTCTCTGACCTTCTTTTTCACTCAAAAATGAGAATAACAATAGTACCTGTCTTATGAGTTATTGTAAGAAGTAAATGAAATATAGCTCAGGATATAGTGAATGTGCAAAACTATTACTCTCATAACTGTTTTTGGTAGGCCAGTGCTTTTACCTTCAGGATTTTTAGGGACAAGCATCCACCAGAAGGGCTCTGAAGAGTCTTTGAGCTGGAGGGCAGGGTCCAGGGCCCAGACTTACCCACCATGGGTGAGCTAAGGGCTGGGGCAGAGTGTGGGGGCTGATGTAAGACTCACAAATTGCACAGGCACTGAACTGAGCATCCAGGATGTGAGGAAGCCCCCAGGATGGTTCTAGAAAGGCAAACTAGTGCCCAAGGACTGTGAGCCATATGTTCTGGGACTCTGGTCCCCGTTCAGCCTCTGACTGGCTATGTGACCTTGAGCAAATGGCTCACCTTTTCTGAATCACCGTTTCTTTGTTTCTAAAATCTAGAAAGGCCCCCCCCCTCCAACTTTAAAAATTCCTTATTTGTGTAGGACAGGAAAGAGCTGGGAGCAGTATGGGTGGGTGTGGTGAGAGGACGTGTGCATGTGTCTGTGTGTGTTCCTGCCTCTCCCTTACTGGGGACCCAGAGGGTAGACGCCTAGCCCTATCCTTAGGCTCCAAAGGTGCTCAGGGCAAGGGCTTTGGAGTCAGACAGATTTGGGTTGTGCTGACTTTGTGACCTTTTGTAGACTACTCTGTTTCTCATCTGTGAAATGGAGATATTAATTTTTAAAGTTTATGGAGTGCCTACTAAGTGCCAGGCAGTGTCCTAAAGCCTTTACACATATTCATTCATTTAATCCTCACAACAGTGCCATGAAGCAAGTACCATTATTATTATCATCACATTTTTACAGATAAAGAAAGGAGGCACTTGGGGGTGGGGTAAATAACTGAGCAAGATAACACAGCTAGTGTGGTAAACACAGGTGTACTGCCCAGATGTGTCTTCCAGAAAGGACTTGCCCCAGCTATAGGGAGTGCAGTCAGCAGACAGTCTCCAGTTGTCTGGTCCTTTAGCATCTGCCTCTGGTGCAGAGAGCAGTCTCACCTGAAGTCATGCCTCTCCTGGGCAGTCTGTATCCAGTGCCCAAACAAGGTGAGGGTATCATAGAGTATCACAGAGCTCCCCACCTTTGGCTAAGACTTGGTGATCCTGCCTTGCAGTTTAACTTCTCTCTCTGCCCAATCCTGTTTCCTCCCCTTTCCTTTCAATGGTGTTGATACACAATAAACATCTTTCAGGGAAAACTTCTTCTCAGCTTCTGCTTCTGGAGACCCCAACCTACAAGTGGTAAGTGGCAGGGCTGAGATCTGAACTCTGTCTGGCATCTGACTATTATGCTTTCAAAATGAAAGATAACTTGTTGGAGTTGTTATGGCAATTAATATGCTAGTGGCTGGCACATAGTGAGGGCTAAATAAATGGTAGTTACTGGTAGTATTATTGCCCCACTGCCAGTTCTTACCTGGTCTCCTCCTCCTGGGAAAGATGCTGGGAGTACAGGTGCCCCAACCCCTGAGAAAGAGGAAGCCTGGGAGAGACCCAAAAAGAGTCCAACAGAGGCAGTCCCTCCTGTCTGTTTGTTTTTTGTTGTTGTTTTTAAATCTCTTACCAGGACCTCCTAGCTCTTACCCTGTCTCCTCTTCCTGAGAAAGATAGAGTACAGTTTCTCCTGAGTCCCAAGTGAGGGTGGGGCTGAGGCTGGGAGAGGAAGTGGGGTGGGGTGTTTGGACAGGGAATCATAGCTCTGCCAGTCCACCCAGTCCTGAAGGAGGTGTGGAGGTGAGGGTGGGGTGGGGAACAATAAGGGGTCCAAACACAGGACCTTAGAATAAAGAACAGGAAAAATATGTGCACATTTCCAGGGTCAGCCAAGTTGACCCTAGTGCCTGGTATTTGGGCCCAAGGGGTCTGCCTGCCAAGGGACAGGCATAAGGCTATGGCCTTAGGAGTCCTCTGAGTTCTATTAGACTCTGCTTCCAATTCATTACATCTGCCCTATATCTTCACCCAGCCCTATTACAGGATAGATCTCTCCTCTCTCCTTTTTTGTGTATCTGCCAAGAAAGATGACTTTCTTCCTCTTAAGTCTGCCTGCTTACCCCTCCTCCCAGGAGGGAAGCCCTCTCAGAAGTCTGACCTCTACCTCTCATGCTGCAGCAGCTGACTATTCCTAGGGATTTGGCCTTCCATTAGGAACAGGGCAGAGAAGCCTAACTCGGCACTATTAGAGAGAGAGCACCACCATTCATTATTTACAACAGTAGAGCATTCTGGCAGCCCCGACTTTCCCTCCAGTAACCAGACCCTCCCCCACCCCTGCAGCTTTCTTCCTCATACAAAGGGATGATGAGCCCTAGGGGGTCCTGATAAGAGATTAAAAAAACACTACCAACAAACAGGCAGGAGGGCTGCCTTTGTTGGTCTCCTTCTGGGTCTCTCCCAGGCATCCTCTTTATGAACCCCAACTTACCCTTGAAGACAAAGTTATAATCTTCCTCGGTTCCGTTCCCCATCTTGGCTCCACATGGAGGGTGCAAATGTCTTGGGGGGGGGGCAGAGGTGACGGGTCTATGCGTTGGCTCAATGCCCTCAACCCTCAGCTCTTAAGAGACCTGGATCCACCCCTTCTCTCATTGGGGGGCAGGGGGTTAAGAAACTTATGCAACCAGAGAGATTGAGGGCCTACTTAAAGCTAGGCAAGGCCCGGGGAGGCTTACCTCTGGCAGGTAGGGGTGCTGTAAGGAAGCTGAGGACGAAACAGGAAGAACAGGGCAGCTGGAGACCTGGGGCCCAGGTGGGTGGAGACGATGACGTCAGACAGGTTAGACAGGTTGGGTGTCTGCTCTCAGCCTGGGCTCCAAGTAGGTGGGCAGGCTACAGAGGGTGATAGTGGGAGAAGTTGGACAGGGCCTTCAGAGAATCAGCTGAGGTCTGAGTACATGTTGTTAGGCTCCTGGGACCTGTGGCCAAGATAGGCCCAGCTGCCAGTGAGAATCAGCCTCTCAGGGAACTGAAACCTACTACCTTCTGCTCTTCCTTTAGTCTCTGGTGGGGGGTTGGGTAACTGGGGGCACCCAGAGGAAAGGCTGACAGGACGGCAATCACCCTGCTACAGTGCAGAACTCTGAGAGTTGCAGTTTGGGTACAGCAACTTCTGCCCCTCCCTGACAGCCCGGGGCCTGGGAGGGGCAGCATTTCTCACCCCAGTGGACCTGGAACTTGCAACTTACCTACTTCCCTAGGATGGAGTCCCTTCCTAGAGCACTAGGAATGGGGCCAGTAGCTCCTTGCCCAGACATGCTCTGAGGACACTGGGTAGGGGGAGACCCGGGGCAGAAATAGCCAGATGGGGTCAGGGGTCTGAGTATAGGAGCAGGATTTGGAGAAGATCCCCGAGAGGCCTTCGGAGTTTTTCCAGATCACTGTCCAGAACCTTTGGCCTCACAGCAAAGCCATCCTGTCTGCAAAGGGCTTCAGGATCTGGAGGTCTGGGTAAGCATGTGAACACCTGGGAGAAGAGGAAAGGGGTGGCCCCTCCCAACCCAAAGAGTAGAAAAGGCACCCTACCAAAGTTAGGACTGAAGGACACTGAACTCCCAGGCCCCATGCTGTTTTTGTCCAACATGACCCCCACTGGCCCCATGCTCCTTGGAACTCACGTCCAAGGTTTTGCCAACCAGGTAGGTAAAATTCTGTTCTGAGAGGTGAAAGGCCAATTGTGGTCACACCACTGGAGAGGCCACGGAAGCTGAGGCACCACTGCTCAAAATTATTTGGCTGCTTGAGGTCCTGGTGGAGGAGCAGGTGGAAATCTGTTCTTTTTTTAAAAATACATTTTTCCAAATGTTTTTATTGATTTTTTTAGAAAGAGAGGAAGGGAGAGGGAGATAGAAACATCCACGAGAGAGCACCATCCAGAACTGTCCTTGGGCTGTCTCCTGCATGCCCACTACTGTGAGTAGGGCCTGCAACCCAGGCATGTGCCCTGACTGGGAATCGAACCAGTAACTCCTTGGTGCATGAGTCAGTGCTCAACCACTGAGCCACACCAGCTGGGCCAGAAATCTGTTCTTGCGTGACATGAATATTGTAAACCATCCCTGCTCCTTCCCATCTCCTCTGTCTCCTCCCATCCATGAAAGCAGGCAAGCCACAAGACAGAAGTGAAATTTATTCTTTGAAAAAACAAAGTTCCACAGTCCAGGAAGGTTTCCCTGGGGGGCCTTGCCCCTTCAAATGATCATCTCTTTTGTATGACCCGTAGTTCCACCAATACCCATCAGGATGCTGCTACTTGGGTGAGGGGCTCCTCCAGGTACTGCACCAAGGCCTGTGCCTACGAGAGGAGGAGGAGAGATCAGCATCACACATGGCCTGCCATGGGAGGGATCCCACATCCAGGTGACTCCCAATGCTGAGCACCTAGCCTCTAGCCCCACCAGACATGGATAGGGTGACATGAGGACTGCAGGAAGGTGGTGGGGATGGGAGTGGACACAGTGATGAGGAACGAAGGCCGGGCCTAGGGTTGTACAGGGATGAACACATACACACCTTGGCCTTGAGCATTCCGAAGCCAACAGTCTCCTTGGCATACATACACAGCAGAAGGTTGGCCACACGGGTGATAGCTACACGGCCCTCCTGGTGGGGTGATATCACAGGATGTGATGTTCTGCTTGGCAGCCTTAGCTCCCTCTTTCCTCAAGGAGTCTTCTTTTATTTTTTTAATCCTCATCCGAGGACATTTTTCCATTTTTTGTACAGACGGAGTGGGAGGGAGAGAGGGAAACATCGATGTGAAAGGGACACATCGAGTGGCTGCCACCAGCACGACCAACCAGGGCCGGGGACAAACTGCAACCGAGGTACATGCCCTTAGTGGGAACCGAACCCGGGTCTCTCCGGACTGCAGGCGAACGCTCTAACCGCTGAGCCAAACTGGCCAGGGCTCAAGGAGTCTTCTTGAGAGAGAGACTATATCTTTCATCATGCCCTGGACACGGCAGGAGCTTCATTTAAGGAGCTATGGCCACAGCCCTGGACATGGGGTCCTGTGCCAATTCCAACCTCAGCACAGCTACCTACTAACCAAGTTACCCTGGAAAACTCAATCTTCCAGAAACTCAGTTCCTCTTTCCGTAACCCACATCTCACAAGTTAGTGAGGGTGTTAGTACACAGGAAGGAGTTTTGTGTCTGCAAAAGGTTATCCAAATGGGTTATTATTATGGGTTCACCCCAAAGACACTGTAAGGGGCTTGATAGCAGTAACCCAACTTATACTTTTCCTATGGTAATTTTTTTTAAACTGCAGGTATGACCCCAGGGTTAGATCAATTGAGAAGGCTGATCAATATTAAAAGAAAAAGGAAAGAAGTGAAGTGTATTGCATGTAGTAAGGGAAGTACTGTTGTGTGAAACATGTTTTTATGGGTATATGTGTGTACTGGGCTCTGACTTAAAAGCTGTTCTTTATGGCTGGGTTGTGGTCAAAGGTTTAAAAGCTACTGCCTTAGCCCTGGCCAGTTTGGCTCAGCAGTTAGAGGGTTGGCCTGCGGACCAATGAGCCATGGGTTCGATTCCTGTCAAGGGCATGTACCTCGGTTGTAGTTAGTCCATGGCCCTGATTGGGGTCATGCAGGAGGCAACCAGTCGATGTGTCCCTCTCATATTGATGTTTCTCTCTCTCTCCCTCCTTCCCACTCTATCAGAAGATAAACAGAAAAATATCCCCAGGTGAGGGATTGCCTTATAGCACCAGGTCTAGGACAGGTACTAGTAGGAGTCATTAGTTGAACTGAAATGCATCTTTCGTTGGGTGAAGGGTGAGAAATCCTTCACTCTTGGGCCTTTTCAAATTTTTTAAAAAATTAATTTAATTAATTTAATTTTGTTCAGATAGAGTGGGGAGGAGAGAGAGAGAAACATTGACGTGAAAGGGACACGTCGAGTGGCTGCCTCCTGCACGACCCAACCAGGGCCGGGGACAACTGCAACCAAGGTACGCGCCCTTAGCGGAAACCAAACCTGGGTCTCTCTGGACCACAGGCTGACGCTCTAACCGATAAGCCAAACCAGCCAGGGCAATTTATCTTATTTTATGTATACATATTTTTTTTATCCTCACCTGAGGACATTTTTTTTTTTTTTTGCATTTTTATCTTGAGATAGAGCAGGAGGCAGAGAGGAAAAGAAAGAGAAACATCCACGTGAGAGAGACACATCAAGTGGTTGCCACCCACACGACCCCAACTGGGGCCAGGGACAAACTGCAACCGAGGTATAGGCCCTTAATGGGAACCGAACCCGGGCCTCTTTGATCCGCGGGCCAATGCTCTAACTGCTGAGCCAAACTGGCCAGGGTTATTTTATTTTATTTTTCAGCGAGAGAGGAAGGGAGAGGAAGAGATAGAAACATCAATAAGAAAGAACATCAACTGGCTGCCTCCTGCATGCCCCCCCAACTGGGGATCAGGCCCACAACCTGGGCATGTGCTCTGACTGGAAATTGAACCAGCAACCTCTTGGTGCATGGGTCCACGCTCAACCACTGAGCCACACTGGCCGGGCAGGCCTTTTCAATTTGATTCAGCAAATTTTCACTAGGTATCCACTGTGTGCTGGGAACCAGGTACTGCACCCCCTGCCTCTCTGGCTTCCTCTTCTAATAACCTCTCCCATTCTCATGCCACTCCACCAATATCAATTATGTTGATCCTGTTCTGTCAGAAATGTTTTCCCCCCAGACAGCCACATAGCTTGCCAGCTTCCTTCAAATCTGTCATAAAATGTCACCTTTTCAGTGAAATTGTCCCTGGCACATGCCCCCCTCTATTTCACTTCCTTGCTTCATTTTTCTCCATAGCATTTTCAATACCTAATGTATTATTTTTTAAACTTAGCCCTGGCCAATTTGGCTCAGTGGTTAGAGTATCAGCCAGAAGACCAAATCGTCGCAGGTTCAATTCCGGCCAAGGGCATGTACCTCGGTTGAGGTTTGTCTCTGGCCCTGGTCGGGGTCGTGTGGAAGACAACCAGTTGATGTGTCCCTCTTTTTTTTTTTTATCCTCACCTGAGGACATTTTTTTTTGCATTTATCTTCAGACAGAGCAGGAGGGAGAGGGGAAGAGAGCGAAACATCAATGACAGAGATATACATCAACCGGTTGCCACCCACACAACCCCAATTGGGGCCAGGGACAAACTATAACTGAGGTACATGCCCTTAGTGGAAACTGAACCCGGGACTCTCCGGTCCACAGGCCGACGCTCTAAACGCTAAGCCAAACTGGCCAGGGCTGATGTGTCCCTCTTATATCAATGTTTCCCTCTCTCTCCCCCTCTCTATTTTATTTATTGGAAAAAATAAAATCAACTTACATATTTACAAAACATATTTACAAAATTATTTTACAAAATGCCTATATTATACTTATTTTAAGACATGTAAGGCTGTAAGCTTCATTAGGGCTGCAGTTTATTTATGTCCTGTTTGCTACTTTTCCCCTAGTCCTGAGAACACTACAGGGACCTAAATATTTGTTGACTGAACAAAAGCGATTGACTGTTTCCAAGCAGTTCACAAGCTAATGGTCACTTCCCCTATCTGGACTTCATCTCCTTTCTCTAAAATGAAGGGATTAGACAAGGGTTTGGAAACTCTCATTGTTCAGTAAGTCAATGAATCTGGGATGCCCACACTTTGTGTGCACCTTACTCTACAGTTTCTATCCACTCTTTTATTTAATCTTCACAACAACCTTGTGTATGTGTGGGAGGGTGTTAATGTTTATACCTTAGAGTTGAGGTAAGGGAGTTCAGAGAGGCTAAATAGCTTATGCAAGGTTCCACAGATGTTAAGTGGCTGGCTCAGAGCAGAACCCCAGGTAGATGCCGGATCCAGGACTCCTTCCTCACCACCACTTGATGCATAAGGTCCTGCCTATTATAAATGTTGCTGCAGACCAACTCTTAGCAATCTTCCACAGATCCCAACCATCCAGGACGAGGCACAGGTCACCCCCTGGGGATCCCCTTTGGGGACAGAGGAAGTGGCTCCTCTCTCCATACCATGCAGTCCATGAGGATGAATTTGAGATTGTCTTCATTAAATGCTTGGTTCCCGTTCCGGTCGTAAGCGGCCCAGATGTTACTGGCGATGGCTGCGGTGACCCGGGCGTCTGTATCCCCGTAACCAGAGTAGGCCAGTAGAGATCCCTCGTTATTCAGCAGCCTGGTGAGGGACAGGGAGGGATAGGAACGTGCTCATTATGGGGAGTCAAAGGCTTGGGTTCCCGTCACAGCCACCGCCACTGACGCTTCTAGAAAGCAAGGGTCTGGGCTGAGTGTGTTCTGGAACGTGACCCAAGCACCCAGCACGTCAATTTCCCTTTTCCACAGTGGCCCTCCAAGCCGGTTGCCCTAGCTGCTGCCCCCTCCCTTCTCGGAAATCCTTCCCTACCCCTCCCTCAGAGAGCCGCGCGCTGTCCCACTCCTATGCTCGCCACTCGGGCCCTCAGTTCGCACTCACAAGGTGCTCTGGACACCTCCAGTGTTGGCTTGGCTTAGCACCTGGGTCAAAGCCTTGGGACGCAGCATGCCTGCGACTCCTAAACCTGGGCTTTTTGCACCCAGACCCTCGAATTGCCTCCAGCCGAGCTCCGCCAGCCGCTTCCGGTACTGCCCTGCTCCGGAGTGCTCTGGGAATTGTAGTTTCCGCGGCCTGACTTTATAGTTCAGATTCAACCCCGCCCCCACGGGGCCCACTGGGAATTGTAGTTCCTTAAGGCATCGCGAGGCACCCTGGGAACTATAGTTCGCCTTTCCTCTGAGACCGAGTGGTTACGGGGGCGGGGGTGGGAGGTGGAGAAGAACGGGAATTAAAGGACAGTGGCGGTTTTGGAAGAACATTTAACTCTTTCGAGGAGAGAAAAGTTATTATGTCCGCGTAACAATCCACGATTCAGTAATTTTTGAAAAAATCCCTGTATTTGTGAGACACACCTTTGGTTATTTTCAAAGTAATTTTCTACACTATGCACAATTCTGAGATGAGATTGATGCTGCTGAGGAAACCAAGGCTCAGGAAGACCACGCAGGCAAAACCCAGGTCTCTGGAACCGAACTTCATAGAGTTCGTTCAGGCCACTACCCTCGGGGAAAGGAAGTCAATATTAGAGATGAGATTTTAGGTGGACATCCAGAAGTGGAAAAGTTCAACCTCCCAGTCGTCAGAGGTCCCAGGCCTGAAAAGGATTTGGATTTCCCGAGAAAGACGAGCTATCGCAGGGAACGGAGAGAAAGTGGCGACACAGAGAATCCTTTGTCCCGCAGCGGGAGTGACCTGCGGAGGGGGCAGGAGCAGCTTTGGGCCGGAGGGGCTTCGGCTCGGCTCGGCCCCTCTTGGATGGGCCCTGGTCCCCTGTGGGGAGCTCGCCCCCCGCCCCACCACTGACGGACACACCCCGCCCCCGCCCGGAGCCCCCCAAGGGGCAGCCGTCCCGCGAGGCCCTGTCCAGGCTGCAGGACCCCGGGCTCGGCCATGGGCGGACTGCGCTGCAGTGGCCCCCCCAGTCCGCCCGGGGCGCTGTGGCTGTGGCTGGTCCAAAGCGGGTGGCGAAGCCTTGGGGAGGGGAGGGGAGGGGAGGGGAGGAGTGAGGAGGGGAGAGGGGAGTGTTGGAGGCGCCCGAGCCGAGCCAGGTCAGCCGGGCGGGCGGGGAGGAGGAGGAGCCGGGGCGTGCTGGCGGGCGGCCGGGTGGCGGCGGCGGCATGGCGGAACCGAGCGGGGCCGAGACGAGGCCCCCCATTCGGGTCACCGTCAAGACACCCAAGGACAAGGAGGAAATCATGATCAGCGATCGAGCCTCGGTCAAGGAGGTAGTACGGGTGAGGGGGTGGCGGGGAGGAGGGGTCCACGAAGAGAGGGGGTGGTTCTGGACGGTAGTGCGTACGGAGGGTCTGGGAGAGGAGGACGGGGCCCCAGCAGGCACTCGGAGGAGCTGGAGGGAAGGAAAGGCGGGTAGGGGGCGTTCTGCGAGGGTAGTCTGGGGGAGCGTGGCGCGTGTTGGGGAAGGGAAGCCAGGGTTTGCCTTGTGGCCTGGACTGGGGGCGTGGTGGAGAGTGGGGTGGGGACACCTTGAGCAGGGAAGGGGGAAGTGTTTGAGGGGAGTGTGCGCCCCGGTTGCTGGTCTGGGTTCGAGGCGTCGAGGCTGAATGGGGGCCGGGCATGGTGCTGAGCCCCGAGAGCGGGCGGGGGGCGCTGCGGAGAGCTGCGTGCTCTGCCGCGGGGTCGGTCGGGGCAGGATTTCCCTCTGCCCAGATGCTTCTTGCTCTTTCAAATCCAGGCGGTTACATTTGGTTCTCAGCCCCTACGGGATTTGCACAGTGTGCAGTAGGTGTTCAATAAAATCGTATTGAATGAGGGAATACTGCATGTATTCGCCACCTCCCAATGGCTGCTCCAGAATTTCACATGGGCAGGGCTTAAGATAGGCCTTCTGGGTGGGAGGGAGGATATGGAAGCTACCTGTGTTTTTTTCGCAAGTGCACTGTTTTTACTTAGAGTATATGTTTGTTTTGATTGGGGGTGGTGGTGGTGATAGATTTGGGAGTCTTAATTTCCCAAATCAGCCTTTAGTATCATCACTGCCCCTCCAACCTTATAAAATGACTACATTTTCAGGATTTAAGTTTGTTTTCCCGCAAAGCTGGATTTTAAATCAGCTCCAATTGAGAGGCAGTATGTTGGTTAAGAGCCTGGGCTTTGATGTATAGAGGAGTGCAGCCCTGGTCCGTTTGGCTCAGCAGTTAGAGCATCAGCCCTCGATTGGAAGGGTCCTGGGTTCGATTACTGGTTAAATAGGTGGATTGCAGGTTCAATCCCTGCCCTGGTTGGGGTCCTGCAGGGTCCTGCGGAAGGCAACTAATCCAAGACACATCATTGTTTCTCCCTCCCTCCCACTCTATCTAAAAATCAATGGGAAAATATCCTTGGGTGAGGGTTAACAACAACAACAACAAAAAAGACCTGAGTCCAGTCTGCCCTGGCAAGTTTCCTAACTACTCAGATTCTCTTTTCTCATCTTTAAAATGGAGGTAATAATTAATGTATAGCTCATGGGACTTACTCTTAACTCATGTTGTAGTTGTTATAAGCATGCTGGGAATAAAGAGGGGAGAGAAACTTGGGGTCTGAAAAGAGAAGGCTGAGGGACAGGGCCTAGGTCCAAGGCTGCTGAAAGAGCTGAGATAGAGTGATGTCCAGGCAGTAACCTACCTCACAGGGAATTGGGCAGAGGGACTGAAGAGGGAGGAACAGATAGCAGCAAGGGCTTCCTGGGGCGGGAGACCCTGGAGGAGAGTTAAGAGAGGAGCCTCTCATTAGTGGGTTAACCATCTCCTTGGTTAAGAAAGGAGCTGCTGCCCTGGCCGGTTTGGCTCAGCGGTTAGAGCGTCGGCCCGCGGACCAGAGAGGCCCCGTTTCCGTTCCCGCTAAGGACATGTACCTCGGTTGCAGTTTGTCCCTGGCCCTGGTTGGGGTTGTGTGGGTGGCAACCAGTCCATGTGTCTCTCTCACATCGATGTTTCTCTCTCTCTCTCTCCCCTCTCTCTCCCCCTCTCTCCCTCTGTCTGAGGATAAATGCAAAAAAAAAAAAGTCCTTGGGTGAGGATAAAAAAAAAAAAGAAAGAAAAAAGCTGCTTATTGCAGCTGGAGGAATGGAGTCAAGACTGCAGAAAGGACTTCCCACAACTAGAGGTGGGAGGAAAGAATGCTGAGGCTCTTGAAGAAGGGTCTCTGGTGGATGGAGTCCAGGTAACCTTTGTAGTGATCTCTTCCTTTTGATCACAGTTCAAAGAGGAAATCTCCCGGAGGTTTAAGGCTCAGCAGGATCAGCTGGTCCTGATCTTCGCAGGCAAGATCCTCAAGGACGGGGACACATTGAACCAGCATGGAATCAAGGATGGGCTTACTGTCCATCTGGTCATCAAGACCCCTCAAAAGTAAGTTCAGGCCATGGCCTGTTTGGCTCAGTGGTTAGAGCGTTGGCCTGCAGTTTGGAGACACCCTGGTTCAGTTCCCCCTAAGGGCACATACCTCAGTTGCAGTTTGTCCCTGGCCCTGGTTGGGTCATGTGGGTGGCAACCACTCGATGTGTCCCTTTCACGTCGATGTTTCTCTCTCCCTCCCACTCTGTCTGAACAAAATATCGAAAAATGTCCTCAGGTGAGGATAAAAAAAAAAAGGTAAGTTCAGGAGAGGAGGGGGTCCAGCTTCTGATTGGACCACTTTTTCCTGTCTGATACTTTCTCACTCATCACTCAACTGTGCCTAGAGGGCCTATACCAAGACCCAGGAAAGTGGCTCTCGAATGGGTTGCCAGGCAAGCTTATGATCTCACTTGCAGGGGAAGGGATCCTGACTTATGTCTCCCAGAATGCCCTGAAGACAGATGATACTAGCTCCTCCTTCCCTCTGTGATTTACTGACTATCCCCTAGCATCACCCCACCCCAGCCTCAGTGTTGCTTAGGATGCAGCCTGGGATGGGGCAGTAGCTGCACACCACACATAGAGATGGTTGTCTTCCCACTTCTTGTGTTCATGTAAACTAGGATCTTCTTTCTTGGTCCTCAGGGCTCAAGATCCGGCTGCTACCACTGCGTCTTCCCCCTCTACTCCAGACCCTGCCTCAGCACCCTCCACCACGCCTGCTTCACCTGCCACCCCTGCCCAGCCCTCCACCTCTGGCAGTGCCACTTCGGATGCTGGCAGTGGAAGCCGGAGGAGCAGTGGGGGGGGTCCCTCTCCAGGGGCTGGGGAGGGCCCTCCCAATGCTACCGCATCCATACTCTGTAAGCCCTTAGGGACTGAGGATTGGGGGAGAGCCAAGAGAAGGGAGAAACATGGTCCCCACTCATGGTCTGATGGGGATAGAGGACCCCTTGACATAGGGCTTCCCAGATAAGGGGAGCATGGGCAAATGTTAGAGTGAGGGAGAAGATAGGGATGGAGACATGGGAAACCCTGGGTGAGGATATTATAGGTAGGGGCAAAAATGGGTCCAATAGAAGCCAGTTGGGGAATATTGATTTACTCAACAGGCCATCAGTGGTTGCCCTCTTTGTTCTCAAGACTATACCCTGCTCCCAGTCTCGGCCTCCAAAGAGGGCTCAGTCTAGCAGGCTGATATCCCTGCCGCAATAGATCAGGGCTGGGGCTGCAGGAATGACTGGAAAAGGGAGGTGTGAGAAGCAGAGGGGGCCTATCTTTGAGACCGGAACTCAGTGGCTTTGACCAGGTGGGGGAAGGGCTCCTGTGGCAGACTGTGACTCTGCCCCCTCCCTGCAGCTGGCTTTGGGGGCATCCTAGGCCTGGGCAGCCTGGGTCTGGGCTCAGCCAACTTCATGGAGCTGCAGCAACAGATGCAGAGGCAGCTGATGTCCAATCCTGAGATGCTGTCACAGATCATGGAGAACCCCCTGGTTCAAGACATGATGTCTAACCCTGACCTGATGCGCCACATGATCATGGCCAACCCGCAGATGCAGCAGCTGATGGAGCGGAACCCTGAGATCAGCCACATGCTCAACAACCCCGAGCTGATGAGGCAGGTGGGTGTGAGAGAGGTTGGGGTGGGGGTGTGGAAGACACCTGCACCTAGCTGTGCCTGACTGGCCTTTCCCCACCTTGCCCTACCTTGATTTATTCATTTGTTTAGCAGCCATGTTTTACACACTTGGGGTACAGTGATGAAAAGATACAGGCCTAGTCCTGGTCGGTTTGGCTCAACGGTTAGAGCGACGGCCTGCGGTCCAGAGAGACCCAGGTTCGGTTCCCGCTAAGGGCATGTACCTCGGTTGCAGTTTGTCCCTGGCCCTGGTTGGTCGTGCAGGTGGCAGCCACTTGATGTGTCCCTTTCATGTCGATGTTTCTCTCTCTCTCTCTCTCTTCCTCTCTCTCCCTCCCTCTTCCTCCCATTCTATATGAACAAAAAATGGAAAAATGTCCTCAGGTGAGGATAAAAAAAAAAAAGATACAGGCCTAGCTTTTCAGGAACTCTTGGTCTTAAAAGGAAATGGGATAAGTAAGCAGGCAATTACAATACAGTGTGGTTGGTACTATCATACAGATAGTCATAGGATCCCCCAGGAGCACAGAGAGTAGGTCTTGACACTATCCTGGGGAGTCTGAGGAGGCTTCTAGAGGAAATGTCACCCAAGCTGAGATCCAAGGGAGGAAACATGAACCAGAAGAAGAAAAAGAGAAGAGTGTTTGGGGCTGAGGCACAGCAAGTGAAAAGGCCTGGGAGTAAAAGATGGTAGGGTATTTGGGGAGCATTAAGGCTAGGCAAGGCCAGGTGGGTAAGGGAGACCCAGGTGAGGCAGTTTTGTGTTGGTCTCTGGGAGTTCCATCTCATTACCCAGTTCACCAGGTGTCAAGGAAAGACAACCTCAGCAGAGCTGTGGACACCAGTGCTAGATTCACCAGAAGATAAGTTTCATCAGGACAAGGATTTGCAAGTGTTTTGTTCACTGTCTAAAATAGTGCATGTATATAGTAGTTATTCAATAAGTATTTATTGAATACGAGATCAGAGTAGTGTCTTAGACATAAGGATATCTTAGAAGAGGCAAGAGTAGAGCAAATTTGGGAAGAAGGACAGGGAAGGCATTGGATAGGAACAAGAAGTAGCCATATTCATTTTTTCTATCATATACTGCTGTCCCCTGGAGTTGACTCAGGTTCCCCATTATTGAGAGTGAAACATTGGCTCTAAAGAGAAAGCCCCATCCTGTTTCTCACATTTAGTCAAGCCAAAGACCTGCAAATGGGGGTTAAAGGGTGTTGGTAGCATTGTCCCAGCTTGAATCCTTTCCCTCCTTAACTCATTTAGCAGGAAGCAGAGTTTGGTGTTGGTCAGACAGATTAACCTGGCCTTGACACTTGGCTCCACCACTAACTGGCTGTGTGTTCCCAGGCAGTGAGTCTCTGAGCCTATTTTCTTATTTTTATTTTTTTTATTGATTTTAGAGAGAGAGGAAGGGAGAGGGAGAGAAAGATAGAAACATCTATGAGAAAGAACATCAATTGGCCACCTCCTGCATGCCCCCCCCCCCGCAACTGGGGATTTGGCCCACAACCTGGGCATGTGCCCTGACCAGGAATCAAACCGGTGACCTCTTGGTGCATGGGACTATGCTCAACCACAGCTACACCGGCTGGGCTCTGAGCCTATTTTTTATTCTACAAAATAGGGACAGAAATACCTACCGAAATACCATTTATTATGGGGATTAAATGACTTGAATTCTGTAAATTACTTAGTCCAGTGCCTGTATGTAGTAGGTGCTCCATAGGTGTTAATTTTCTCTTCTGCCTCCTCCCCTTTCTTTCTTTCTTTTTTTTTTTTTAATCCTCACCTGAGGACATTTTTCAACATTTTGTTGAGATAGAGTGGGAGGAAGAGAGAGAGAGAGAAACATCGATGTGAAAGGAACACATCGAGTGGCTGCCACCCACACGACCCAACCAGGGCCGGGGACAAACTGCAACCGAGGTACATGCCCTTAGCGGGAACCGAACCCGGGTCTCTCCGGACCACAGGCCGATGATCTAACCGCTGAGCCAAACCGGCCAGGGCCTCCTCCCCTTTCTTATGTCCATTCTTATTCAATTTCCTTGTGCTCCCTGATCCCTGACACTTCTATGGAACCCCTGAACCTGAGGGAGGGAAGCTGTTCCCCTCACCGCTTCTGGGATCATTGCACCTCACTAGAAAAAGCCAGCCAGAATGCCCATAGGGAAGCATGATTGGAGCCAAGATGACAGTATAGGAATGAAGTCTAGTTTACCCTGCTCTACTGCTATAGGGCAGATCTTGGACTCTGGACCCTGGTCCTGATGCAGGCCTCCTCCTCTGAGCCCACCCTGTTGCAGGCTTGGTTCTCCCCTAGCTCTAGGGCTCATTCTGTCTCTCTACCTTCTCCACCAGACAATGGAGCTTGCTCGAAATCCAGCCATGATGCAGGAGATGATGCGGAACCAGGACCGGGCCCTCAGCAACCTGGAGAGCATCCCTGGAGGGTATAATGCCCTCCGTCGCATGTACACTGACATCCAGGAGCCCATGTTCAGTGCTGCCCGGGAACAGGTGGGGCCAGGGGCAGGGGCGGTGGGTGGGTTGTCTGAACTGAAGATTTCCTACCTCCAAACACAGGCGAGCCTGGGGTACTGTCTGCTCCCTTTCCAGTCCCACTCCACCCCCCAAGGGTGGGCCTTGGCTTGAAAATGGTTCTCACAATGCATAGTCAGGGATGGTCCAACTTGGCTTGGGACTGAGGCACTAGAGCAGAATGTAGGGAAGTGGGTGAGGGTTAGAGTCCGAGGGATATGATGTTGTTCTGACAGACTTCTTGCACCAGGGGCTTGAAGGTTGTGGGGTAAGCCTGGAGTCAAACAGCTGATCCCAGCACAGTGTCTCAAGTGTGGTCCATAGATCACCTGTAGCAGAATTACCTAGGGAGCCTGTTGATGGTGAGATTCCTGGTCCCCACCTTGGAGCTACTTATTGACTCGATCTTTGGAATCAGCCTCTGGGATTATACCCTTTTAAAAATGCTTTATGAATTCTTTCCAAATATACAGCAAATATAGATAAAAATAGAGCATTCTGTTGTATCCATGTTGCCCTAACATATTGCCATATATAGTTTCAGTGCCTTTTTGGGTTCTTTTTCTTTATTTTTTAAGTTTAATTTACATTAAATACATTATACATTTATATGTTTCAAAATTCAAAAGGTAGCCTTGGCCGGTGTGGTTCAGTGGTTAGAACATTGGCCCTCGCACTGAAGTCTCAGGTTTGATTCTTGGTCAAGGGCCTGTCCCTGGGTTGCAGGTTGATCCCCAGCTTGCAGGAGGCAACTGATCACTGTGTCTCTCTCACATTGATGTTTCTCTTTCTTTCCCTCTGTCCTTCCCTCCTTTCCACTCTCTCTGAAAAATCAATGGAAAATATCCTCGGGTGAGGATTCACCAAAATAAATAAATAAATAAATAAAATTCAAAAGGTACACAAAGTAAACAAAAGGGTATACAAAAAGCATGGAAAGAAATATGACCTCAATACATTATTTAAAAGGGATCCTTCTGTTTTCTTCTCCCAAACACTTCTTTCCTGCCCCAAGTTAATGAATGTTAATATTTTGTATGTTTTCCTACACATATGTAATATTTACAGATAAGACGTTATAGGTAGAATGTAGCCTTCTCTTATGGCTTTCTTTCCTTTTCCAGAGCTAACTACCACCTGAAGTTAGTGTCTTTTCATTTTGATTATTTTATTGCCTATATATGTGTCCATAAATAATCTGTAGTTTTGTTTTGCATATTTTCAACTGTATAGATGTGATATCATGCTGTTCATATAATTTTTTCTTTTTTTTACTTTTTTTTTTTTTTTTCCATTTTTTGTACAGATAGAGTGGGAGGGAGAGAGAGGAAGGGAGAGAGAGAGAGAAACATCGACGTGAAGGGACACATCGAGTGGCTGCCACCCGCACGACCAACCAGGGCCGGGGACAAACTGCATCCGAAGTACGTGCCCTTAGCGGGAACCGAACCCGGGTCTCTCCGGACCACAGGCCGGCGCTCTAACCGCTGAGCCAAACTGGCCAGGGCTGTTCATATAATTTTTAACTTGCTTTTTAAACATTTAAAAAATGTATTGCAGGATAATATAGTGACTGAAAGGTGCACATAAAGTGTACAACTTGATGGATTTTCACAAACTGGACACACCCCACCCAGTGGGATCATGGGATCTCACATTATTGTTATTATTTTTGTTTTTGTGGTACGTGCCCCTAGTGGGAACCGAACCCGGGACTCTCTGGTCCGCAGGCCGATGCTCAACCGCTGAGCCAAACTGGCCAGGGCGGATCTCACATTATTTTTAACTTGTGGAAAGGAAAAAGCGCCATATCCTGAGTGGTCTGTGATATCCCATCGGATTCCTTGTTCATGCTGCATCTGTCCTATACCAAGTCTCCACAAATGAGTGAATGTCTTTCTGACTCTATTCAGTCCCACTGGTCTGTCTGTCTGTCCCTGCAGTGATACCACATTGTCTTATTTAAGTCAGTATCTGGAGGAGTGAATCCCCCAACTATTCTTCAATATCATCTTGGTTATTTTGGGGATTACTCTCAAAATTTATAAACTGCTTGTAGGGATCAACTGTTAAATTTTAAAGGAATTTATTTGTTTATTTTACATTTTACTTAAGTATTTAATTTAAAATATATATCAAAGTAATACATTTACCTAGTTTTAAAAAAATCAAGTAGTTGCCTGGCTGGTGTGGCTCAATGGATTGAGCATCGTTCCATGCACAGAGAGGTCCCAATTCAATTCCTGGGCAGGGCACATGCCCGGGTTATGGGCTTGATCCCCAGTGGGGGGTGTGCATGAGGAAGCCGATTGATGTTTCTCTCTCACATTGATGTTTCTATCTCTCTCTCCCTTCCTCTCTCTCTAAAAAAATCAATAAAAACATATTTTAAAAAATTAAAATTAACCGATTGCTCAGTGGTTAGAGCGTCAACTCTAATGTGAGAAACATTGATGTGGTCCAGAGAGACCCGGGTTTGGTTCCCACTAAGGGCACATACTTCGGTTACAGTTTGTCCCCAGCCCTGGTTGGGTCGTGTGGGTGGCAGCCACTCAATGTGTCCCTTTCCCATCGATGTTTCTCTCTCTCTTCCTCCCACTCTATCTGAACAAAAAATGGAAAAATGTCCTTAGGTGAGGATAAAAAAATAAAATTAAATTAAAATTAAAAAGACCAAGTAGTTGAGAGAGACTTATAATAAGCACTGCATCTAATTCTGATGTGACCCTAAGGTGTGTGACCCTCTCTCTGGTTTAGCTAAAAGAACATAGCATTGAGCATCAACAAACCTGGGTTCAAATACCTGGCTTCACCATTTTCGAGTGATGTGATTTTAAGTGAGTTTCCTAACCTCTGTAAGCCTTGGCTTCCTCATTTTCAAAATGGAGGCAATATATTATAGCAGTGATACTCAATCATTTTGGTCTCAGGATCCCTTTATCCTCTTAAAAGTTATTGAGGATCCCAAAAAGCTTTTGTTTGTGTGGGTTAGATCTGCTGATATTCACTGTATGTAAAATAAAACTAAGAAAATTGTAATATTTATTAATTCATTTTTTAAATAAGTTCATCAAATATTAACCTAAATAGCATACGTATTCTTTTGAAAATAACTGTATTTTCCAAATCAAAACTTGATTTTTTATTTTATTTTAAACTATGTTTTTATTGATTTTTTTTTTTTTATCCTCACCCGAGGACATTTTTGCATTTCAGATAGAGCAGGAAGGAAAGAGGGAGGGAGAGAGAGAGAGAGAAACATCAATGCAAGAGAGACACATTGACTGGTTGCCACCCACACAACCCCTACTGGGGCAAGGAGCAAACTGCAACCGAGGTACGTGCCCTTAGCAGGAACCGAACCTAGGTCTCTCTGGACCGCAGGGTGACACTCCAACTACTGAGCCAAACCGGCCAGGGTGGCTTTATTGATTTTGTTTAAAAACAGAAAGGAGAGCGAGAGATAGAAACATTGATGTGAGAGAGAAGCATCGATTGGCTGCCTCCTGCATGACCCCTACTGGGGATCGAGCCCGCAACCCAGGCATGTGCCCTGACTGGGAATCGAACTGGGACTGCTCAGTCCATGGGCTGACCCTCAATCCACTGAGCCACAACAGCTGGCCTTTATTTTATTTGGGAAAAAAAAAAAAGTGTGTGTGTGTGTGTGTGTGTGTATGTGTATATATATACACACACACACACACACATATATATTTTATCCTCACCCAAGGACATTTTTCCATTTTTTGTTCAGATAGAGTGGGAGGGAGAGAGAGAAACATCGATGTGAAAGGGACACATCAAGTGGTTGCCACCCAACCAGGGCCAGGGACAAACTGCAACTGTGTTACATGCCCTTAGCAGGAACCGAACCCAGGTCTCTCTGGACTGCAGGCCGACACTCTAACCGCTGAGCCAAACTGGCCAGGGCTATTTTTTTCTTTATGGATTTTAGAGAGAAAGGAAGGGAGAGGGAGAGAGAGAAACATTGATGAGAGAGAACATGGATCAGCTGCCTTCTGCATGTCCCCCACTGGGGATCAGTCCATAACCCAGGCATGTGCCCTGACTGGAAATCAAATGGGTGACCTCTTGGTGCATAGTCCAACACTCAACCACTGAGCCACACCGGCCAGCCCCAAATCAAAACTTTAGGGGAAAGAGTGGCCTTGTTTTACTTTTTTTTTCTTCCTTTTACAATGTATTTTTTTGTTGTTTTTTGTTTGATTTCTATATGTGCCCTGACTGGGTATTGGAACTGTAACCTTGGCATATTGGGATGATGCTCTAACCAACTGAGCTATCTGGCCAGGGCCTGTCTTATATTTTTGCAGATCTCTTTAATGTGTGGCTACAAGACAGCTGGATTCTCTGATCTTCTGCTTTGTTCAGTCCGCTGCAGTGTCACATTATATATGTAGCCCTTGGAAAACTCCACTCAATACTCATGAGAGAATGAAAGTGAAAAATGCAAATAATGTCTTAGAATTATAAAAATAGTTTTGAACCTTACAGGGATCCTAGGACCACACTTTGAGAACTGGCATATTTGAGAGAGATTATAAACATTACAATAAATATAGCAAGCACATAGTAGATGTTCAATAAATGGCAGGTGTTATCACTATAGGGGGTTCAGGAAAAGAGACTCAGTCTTTAGGGTGTACCACGAAGAACAAAGCAGGGCCCAGAACTAGATGATGTTGGGTGCTAAGCAAGTTACCAGAACAGGAAATTTGAAACAGGGACAGAGACTAAAACTGGTACTTAGACTCTTGCCTGCAAGCCCTGTTATCTGAACAGGCATCTGGTAAGGTGGAGGAACCACAGCTCAGAGCAGGAAAGTCCTTCGTCAGCCCTGGTCCCTATGACCCACTTAGAATAAACAGAAAAAGTGACTGGATGTGAAACCACATGGGGAGGGGCTTAAGCTGCTCAGATACCTGCTTAGGTCAGGACTGCCTAGGAACTCAGGAAAGAGGCTGAGCAAGGGCAATAGGGTTTGGGACTTCCTGAGCAAGCACACCACTTGGACAGAGCTCTTTCCTGGGTGCTGGTGGGGCTAGAGGGAGGAGATTCAGATACTCTCTTGGGTGCACACCATATGATGGGTCCAGACCCTGGGATAGTCCTGAGTGACACAGTGGGAGCCCGGTGCTGAGGGGGACTGTTTAGCTGAAGCAGCTTGTTTGAGGAGGTAGGTTGGGAGGTGGAAGGAGGAGATTGAAGACCTAGGGAGGACATGCTCAGCCAGAGATGTGCTCCATTGTGGTGCTCCTGGAGGGACAGAACCCACTTAGGGGACTCAGGTGGTAAGGTAGAGGGCTCTAGGGAGTTAGTATTGTGCCAAGTGATTGGAAAAGGGGAAGTTGGAGGCAAATCATCATTGAAGTAAAAGCCAACAGTTAGTTGTTGAGCACCTACGAGTGTCAGGAACAGGGTGCGAAGGTGAGTCCGATGTCTCTGCACCTGAAGAGATAAGGAATTGTGTGTGTAAAGTACTGTGGAACACAGGAGACTACAGACCAAATATTTAGAGCCACCAGGAGAGATGGCAACTTTCCAGTTATCTGAGGGTTTCCATTATCCAGTTATCATCAGCCAGCTCCCACTCTGCAGGACAGGGGTGGTGCTGCCCACTGTGGGGCTAAAAACTGAGCTGAAGACTGCTAAGGTCCTAGATCTCTCTCCCTTTCCTGGGGAAGGGGAGGCTACTAGGTGATAGGAAAGAAAGGATGTAGCCCTTGTCCCTGATTTGTTTTTTCAGTCCTTAACCCGAAACCTTTCCCTCCTCCCAGTTTGGCAACAATCCCTTCTCTTCCCTGGCCGGGAACTCCGACAGCTCATCTTCCCAGCCTCTGCGGACTGAGAATCGAGAGCCCCTCCCTAACCCCTGGAGCCCCTCGCCCCCCACCTCCCAGGCCCCCGGGTCCGGTGGGGAGGGCACCGGAGGATCGGGGACCAGCCAGGTGCACCCGACAGTCTCGAACCCCTTTGGGATCAATGCGGCTAGCCTGGGGTCAGGTATGTCCTAGGGTGGAAGGAGCTTAGTGGGGTCACCGGGCAGTTCCTCTGGCCCAGGACTGAATGGGGTTCATACTGTTCCAGAATATTGAAGACAGAGGTGAGACTGTTGAAGCCATAGAGGGGGCTCTGCGGCCTGAGATAGTGGCTCTACCCCTCAGAGAGTGAGGGTTGGTAGACCATGCCCTGATAATCACTGAGAGAGACCTAAGTAATGGCTCATGAATAAACCAGGCCCCACCCTCTAAGCTCTTCAGCATGTGTGGTACTATCCAGTGTAAATGGGTCAGTTGGGATGGGGTGTGGGAGAGGAATCAGGGCAGACCTGGGCACAGGCAGATGTGAGGCTGGGGGAGAAGGATGTGCAGAGCAGCCATGTATGGAAGTACAGGTTATGCACTGCACAACCCTGGGGATATCCCATTTATCAACCCTGACTGTACTTATAACCCTGGAGATGTTTTTGGTAGATGCCCTGATTTCTCTGTAACCTGGGGAACATCTTGATTGAAAAAGTCCCTTCCCCTCTGTGCTTCAGTTCCCTTATTTATAAAATAAGGGAATTGAACCTGATCCACAATTTTTAAAGTGTGCTTTTGAGTTCTTAGGGGGTCTGGACCCTAGGATGAGGAGGAACCAAAGGGGGGAGGCTCCAGGCCTCCTGCTCCAGCACCAACCAGACTATTGATATTCTTGGTTTCTGTGTGAGATTTGGTTTGAGGAAAAGGGTCTCTGCTGCTAAGACAAGTTTGAAAATCATTGATCTAGGTGATCTTTAGTCGTATCCTTTCTAACTCTGACATTGTATGAGCTAGTGGAAGGAACAGGGCATGAATTGGACCCAGTTTGCAACTGGCTTGTCCTTAGCAAAGTGGATGGGAAAGGGCCAGGCCAAAGCAGGAGTCAGGAGAGACTTGGACTATGTCCCAGTACCTGGGTGCCCATTTTACCGTTGCCTTTTTGAGTTTTGTAACCAATCAGTGTCTAAAGTAAGGTAGATTGAAGCAAGGCATCTGGTTTCCATCTGGACCCCTTTTCTCCTGTTTGGTTTGTTTTTTCCTCTTTGCCTTAGGGATGTTCAACAGCCCAGAAATGCAGGCCCTGCTCCAGCAGATCTCAGAGAACCCCCAGCTGATGCAGAACGTGATCTCTGCCCCCTACATGCGCAGCATGATGCAGACACTCGCCCAGAACCCTGACTTTGCTGCTCAGGTATGGAACTGGTTCCAGGGGAGTGCACTGGGGGTAAATGTGGTCAAAACACTGGAGCCAGACTGCCTGGGTTTGTATCAAGCTTCATCACTGCCTAGCTGTGTAAGTTAAGCAAGTAGTTTAACCTCCCAGTTTCCTAATCTGTAAACTGGTGATAACAATAGTTCCTCATAGACTTGTGAGGATTAAGTGAGTTAATGCATACAAAGTGCTTTGAACTTGGAATGGCACACTGTAGGCACTGTGCACTGGGAGTGTTAGCTCTCGTCATCGTCAGACCCAGGGCTGAGCAGCCTGGCTCCTGATACTCATTATTGCCTGGAGTATAGTTCCATTTCCTCTCACTGTCCCACTTAGGCCTTCAGGATACTTTGAGATCCTTGGAAAAGCTGGCCAGATTTCCTGCAGTGGTAGGGGTGCTGAGGGAGACTGAGGCTGTGAGGGGAGTTCTTAGGGTGGGTAGGCCCAGGCCTCCCCCTACTACCTTGACCCCGGCAGATGATGGTGAACGTGCCACTCTTCGCGGGAAACCCCCAGCTTCAGGAGCAGCTCCGCCTGCAGCTCCCCGTCTTCCTGCAGCAGGTGAGTGGGGAGCCTAGAGAGGTGGAAATTGGCTGGGGTTGGACCCTGAAGCCCAAGGGGTGGAACTTCAGGGACAGGGCAGAGCTTGCCACTGGACTTGGTTTAGGCTGCTTCCTGTCTCCTGCCTCCTCCATTGCCTTTCTCTGCTTGTTTCCCACCAGATGCAGAACCCGGAGTCACTCTCCATCCTTACAAATCCCCGCGCCATGCAGGCGCTGCTGCAGATCCAGCAGGGATTGCAGACTTTGCAGACTGAGGCCCCTGGGCTGATACCCAGGTGAGGGTGGGTGGCAGGTGGACAGCAAGGTTCCAGCTACTTCTTTCTTCAACCCTTCCCTCTGTCACTCTGAGCAGCCATTGTGTCTCTCAGGGTCTGTTTTCCTGTTTGTTCCAATTGCTCTTCCTTCTGGATCTCATGTTCTGATCCCTTTCTCAGAGGCCATCTCCCACCTTTTGGTCTCTCCTGTCTGCAGCCTTGGCTCCTTCGGGATGTCCCGGACCCTCGTACCCTCAGCAGGCAGCAATGCCGGGCCTGTGCCTGAGGCTCCCACCTCCTCACCAGCCCCACCAGCCACTTCTCCCACTGGGGCTTCCAGTGCTCAACAGCAGCTCATGCAGCAGATGATCCAACTTTTGGCAGGAAGTGGAAGCTCCCAGGTACATGGGGTAGCAGAGCTGGTGCTGGAACCACCACTCTGTCCTGGTGGTGTCAGGTGACGGCAGAGCATCCTTTGGAATCAGCCAGACCTAGCTCTAGACCCCAGTCTGCCACTTTCTAGCCTTGGGCAAGTTACTGATCTTCCCTAAGTTCAGTTTCCACAGCTGTAAAATGGAGAGAATAGTAATAGCACTTACCATGTGCTTGGTACTGTTCTAAGTGCCTCATTTAATTTATTCCTCACAACAGCCTTGTGAGGAAGCTATTATTATAATTTCTGTGTTATAAAAAGAGAAAACTGAAGCCCAGAGAGATTAAGTGGCTTGCTCAGTCAAAAGCTAGTGGGCCCTGGCTGGTATTGCTCACTGGTTAGAGCATTGGCCCTCACACCAAAGGGTCGTGGGTTCGAGTCCCAGTCAAGGGCACATACTTAGGTTGCATGTCAATCCCCGGTCCCAGTCACGGCATCTGTGGGAGGCAGCCAGTCGATGCATCTCTCTTGCATTGATGTTCTCCACCCCCCCCCCCACACCCGCTTCCACTCTAAAAATCAGTGGAAAAAAATATCCTTGGGTGAGGATTAACAAAACAAAAATAGCTAGTAAATAATGGAGCCAAGATTCAAACCGAAGCATGCTGGCTCCAGAATTTATACTTTTGCTTATATTATGGGATTCTTTTGATAATTAAAGCAGCCTCCATCTCTGAGACCTAAGAAGAGGATTATGGGAGGTGAGGTAACTAAAGCCCTGGGTTACAAAGTCAAGGCTAGGGGTTTGGAGGATTGGGGATGACCTTGGGTAAGCCCTTTAACCTTGCTCCGGCCTTTGTGACTCATCTGGGGAAAGTCTTTCCACAGAAATTAAGTATGCCCAGCTCTGCAAAAGCTGAACCAAGTGATTGCTAAGATTCAGCCCAGCTTAAATTCTATGGATGGCATGGAGCACTGGATAGGGCTTTTGTACAGTAGCCAGGTGGCCTGTGATTGCTGGGCTCCTTCCAGGTTTGAGAGTCTTCTGTTCATGATCTAGGCTGGTGCTTCTTAAACATCTCTTGGGAAAACACTTGCAGGAGATGTTTATAGGAGTGTCAAATATGAAAACCCTTCTCTTTTGTAAATAACTGTTTTTATTGATTGGTTAAAATTAAACTGGTTCTTTTTTACCTGGGGCCATTCTCTGGCCTTTAACATGACTGTATGTGTGATGATGGCTAGGAGGGGTTTAGAGGTGGTGTTTAGCATGTATCTCCCCCACCATAGAGCATTTGGCGTTTGGAGTACCTGTTAACCTCTCCAAACTGTTGATGGAAAGCAGTTCGGAATGTAAGCTGACCGAAGCCTATCTGTTACTTTGAAATTTTAAGAAAGACACTCCCACCTTATTATTGCACAGTTGTAGTGAGACTTAAGACCCAGGCCCCTTGGTCCCCATTTGCAGCTCACCCCACCCTGCTCCACTGGTTGACTCTGAGGGTGTTCGAGAAGACCTACAGGTTGTCTTCTCTTCATTATAAACCCCCAGCTTCTGAAGTTGTCCTGTATCCACTTCACAAGGCCTATCCCCTGTAGGTGCAGACGCCGGAAGTGAGATTCCAGCAGCAGCTAGAGCAGCTCAACGCCATGGGCTTCATCAACCGCGAGGCTAACCTGCAGGCCCTGATTGCCACAGGAGGGGACATCAATGCGGCTATTGAGAGACTCCTGGGCTCTCAGCTCTCCTAATCCTGTGGCCTGTGCCTCCTGCTTCTCCCTTCCCTGGATGCCAGGCATTGGTTCCTGTCAGCTCCTTCCCTCTGCAGCTTGTCATCCTTCTGTCTTCTTCCTGTTCTCTCCAGACAGCAGGGTGGCTTTAGAGGTGTGGACCCCAACCCGGTAGCTCTGTCTGAGAATTTTGGTTCTACTGCTACATCTCTTACAGAATCTTTTCTCCTGGTCCTGCTTGAGCAGAACTATTGAAATGGTTTTCAGAGTTTTATTGATTGGCTCCACAACCACCTTTGCAATCTTCCAACTTCTCAGTGGCAGCACAGAGTTGAAGGAGGAACCAACACTCTGGTTTATTGGAACATGGTCTTTCACCTATACCACTAGGATTTTGCTTGTATTATGTTTGCTTTTGGTAACTTTCTTCCTTCTTTCTTTCCTCATCCCCTCTCACCTCCAACCTAACCAGTGCTAGAACTTCATACTCTGAAGGAGAGGCAGATGAAGCAGGCTGAAATTTTCTTCCTCACTCCCTAGTCTGGACATCCAGCACTTTTAATGGGGTCGTTTGGGACTTCCAGGGGGAGGAAGATGCCTGTTCTTCCTGTCTGAAGGAGGAGATAAGACACAGCCCTCTGAACAAGGGTATAACAAGCCCAGTGGAGATTAGTATACAGGAGGGCATGAGATTTCTGGAGGAAGAGAGTGGGTAAAATAGACTGAATAAAAGGATTGGAAGTTGGAATTTGCAGTTAGGGAGTGGAAGAACTAATTGTTCTTTTAGGCAGGGGAGTCCTGGCTCAGGCCTGGCAGAGGAGACAGATGCTAATGGAACTTGAGTTGAAAGGGCCTCAGTGAAGCTAAGCAATATGGCTCACAAGGGGCCACACTGGCTCCATTTCCTCAAACACACATGCTATGTACACACTCACACACATTTCTGTGAACCCAGGACCTACCTGTGTCCCCAAGTACCAGTGATTGGAGCCCCCCTCAAAAGAAATGAAGTAGAGTGGGGTCTGTTTCAGCAGTGAGTGTGTGTGGGTTGAGTGGAAGGGTGGATTCTTTACTGATTTCTGGTTCAGAGCTCCTCCCACCAGAGAAGTAGGCAGAGGGCTAGTCCAGGACAGGAATGCATACAGACCAAGGAGCTATGCCCCTTGGGCCTCTAGATGCTGGGTAACCCAAGGGTAGTGTGGACACTCCTGAAGCTGCCAGGGCTGTGATCAGCACCATTACACTCCTCTCATAGTTGCTTTCAGGGAATGGTAGAAGGGTCTTTCTCTCTGGAACCCTTGGCCTTTGGCATTCTAGCTCCTGCCCTTTGAGTTCTTCACTATTTCCCTCCAGGCTAGAAAGTTCCATCTGAAAAAGGAAAGGAGAGGGTGACCATGCTGCCTTGGATCTGGAATTGGGGATGACTCTACTGGAGCACAGAGGAGGCTCATATCACCTCCTCTCTCTGCTACTTAGCCCGGTAGCTTGGAGGACCCATGGCTGAGACTATGGAGGCATGAAAAACAGAATTTTCTCCAAGTGGGAAAGGGCCCCAAGCAATCCAGAGAGGATGTCCGCGTGGCTTCCCTCCATCCTTCCCTCAGCTCCCACACTGGCCTTTGTAAATAAATGGTGTGGTCTTTGTTGTGAGTGTGTCTTAGTGTTTGTTTTCTGGGTTGTGGGGGTGGAGGCTAGCTGAAGACATCTTGGTTTTAGAGGGTTTTTATAAAGAGGTTCTAGAGGAATTTGACATTGGGTTCAGTTACCACAGACCTTAAGAAACATTGAATGTTAAGAGATAACTGGTCATGGGGGTGTCTATAATCCATGGTAAACCATAGATGTTAAGAAACATTGAATGTTAAGAGATAACTGGTCATGGGGGTGTCTATAATCCATGGTAAACCACAGACGTTAAGAAGCATTGAATGTTAAGAGATAACTGGTCATGGGGGTGTCTATAATCCATGGTAAACCATAGACGTTAAACATTGAATGTTAAGAGATAACTGGTCATGGGGGTGTCTATAATCCATGGTTTAGGAATGGGAAGGACAGCACTCTTCCAGTCCCCATCCCCTGAACATAAGATACCAGATTCCTCACCTCCCCCTCACCTTTGTTGGTCAGCCTGGGAGAGGACTGTATGAAGGTATTTGGATGATGGCTAGGTCATTACTTCTATCTGATCTTTTGGCAAGACTGCCCTCCCTTACCTCAGGTAAAAAGGTCAAAACTATCTTATGCAGGTGGAGTTGAATAGTTCTTAGTTTTGAGCTCTGGCACTGTCACTAATTGTATGAATTTAAGTCTTCATGTCTGTGAGGTTTTATCTTTTTTTTTTTTTTCTTTATTGATTTTTAGAGAGAGAGGAAAGGAGAGGGAGAGAGAGACAGAAACATTGATAAGAGAAAATATCAGTTGGCTGCCTCCTGCATGCCCCCAACTGGGGGATCAGGCCCACAACTTGGGTATGTGCCCTGACTGGGAATTGAACCGGTGACCTCTTGGTGTATGGGTCGATGCTCAACCACTGAGCCACACCAGCCGGGCTGTGAGGTTTTATCTTGTATAGTGAGATTATGGCCTAGAGTTCTGTGACATGAACAAATCATGGTGGGAGGTTCCACTTCTGATAATGGTAATCTGGATGTTTTAGACCAACATTATTCTCACTTGAAAAATTATAAAATAGCCCTGGCCAGTTTGGCTCAGCGGTTAGAGCGTCGGCCTGCGGTCCAGAGAGACCCGGGTTCGGTTCCCGCTAAGGGCATGTACCTTGGTTGCAGTTTGTCCCCAGCCCTGGTTGGTTGTGCGGGTGGCGACCACTCGATGTGTCCCTTTCACATCGATGTTTCTCTCACTCTCTTCCTCTCTCTCCCCTCCCACTTTACCTGAGCAAGGGATGGAAAAATGTCCTCTGGTGAGGATGATTAAAAAAAAAAAAAAAGCAAAGAAAAATAGATGAAATGAAGTCTCAATAGATGAGTTTAATAACAGATTAAACATAGCTGAGGAAAGAATTGGTGGATTATAGAAACAGGTCAGAAAAAGTATACAGAATGAAACCTGGACTAATAAGAGGATGGGAATTCCAGAAGATACAAAGTAAGTTGAGCTAACATATTTAATTGGACTTCTAGGAGAGGAGAAAGGGGAAGAAGCAATCTGAAGAAATAATGTCAGGATTATCTAGACTTGATCGACTCACAGATTCAAGAAACTCAATGAATTAAAATAAACTTGGACTCTGCAAAAAGGCAAAAGCAAAGGGAAAATGTTTTGAAGCAACTAGAGAATAAAGACAACTTATGTTCACCTGGCCGATGTGGCTCAGTGGATTGAGCGTTGTCCCATGGACTGAGAGGTCCCGGTTTGATTCCCAGTTAGGGCACATTCCCAGGTTGTGAGCTCAATCCCTGGTGGGGGGCATGCAGGAGGCATCTGATCGATGTTTCTCACATCAATGTTTCTATCTCTCCCTTCCCCTCTCCCCTCTCTCTCTAAAATCAATAAAAACATTAAAAAAAAAAAAAAAAGACAACTTATGTTCAGGGGAGCAACAGACTACTGCTTACAACTCAACAGCAAAACTGGAAGCCAGGAGAGTGGAATGCCATCCTCCCTATGCTTACAGAAGATAACTGCAATCTAGAATACAAAGCCCAGTAGGGGACATGTAGGAGGCAGCCAATCAATGTTCCCATCGATGTTTCTATCTCTCCCTTCCTCTCTTTCCAAAATCAATAAAGAAAAAAAAAAAAGATAAAATCAATAAAGAAAAAAAATTATTTTAAAAGTAAGATAATAAAATTAAATAGAGTGGAAGGGAGGGAGAAAGAGAGAAACATCACATTGATTGGTTGCTTCCCACACAACCCCAGCCAGGGCGGAGGATTAGGGATGGAACCTGCAACCCAGATAGATGCACTTGACCTGGAATCGAACCTGTGACCCTTTGGTCTACAGATCAATGTGCTAACTGCTGAGCAAAACCAGCTAGGGCTGTACTTTTTTTTTTTTTTAACCAGGGATCGAACCCATGACAGGTGTATGCTCTGACTGGGAATCGAACCCACAACCATTTTGGTGTATAAGACGACATTCCAATCAACTGAACCACCTGGCCAGGGCAGTATGTACTATTGATATGATGGATGAAAACGGCATTTTACCTCTGTTCTCTTCCTTTCCCAAACCCTCGACCCCAGTCTAATCATGAGAAAACACCGGACAAATTCCAATTGAGGGACATTCTACAAAATACCAAACTTGTACAATATTCTTCAGTACTGTCAAGGTCATCAAAAACAAGGAAAGTCTGAAAACTGTCACAGTCATGAGGAGCCTAAGGAGACATTACAACTAAATGAAATGCAGCACTCTGGATGGGATAAAGGAAACAGAAAAAGGGTATTAGGTAAAAAGTGAAGAAGTCTGAATAAAGTGTGGATTTTTAGCAAATAATTATGTATCAGTAGTGGTTCATTAGTTGTGACAAATGTACTACACTAATGTAAGAGGCTAACAATAGGAGAAACTATGTGAATTACATAGGAACTCTCTTTACTATCTCCACAATTTTTCTGTAAATCTAAAATTGTTCAGAATAAAAAGTTTATTTCAGACAAAATAAGAGGAAATGGAATAGACAGGAAAATAGAAATTGCACATAATATGGCAGGTTTAAACCCTAATATATAAATAATTGTATTAAGTGTAAATGTTAAGAGCTTCAATAAAAAGTCAAAAATTGGCCCTGGTGCCCTGGCCGGTTTGGCTCAGCGGTTAGAGCGTTGCCTGCAGTCCAGAGAGACCTGGGTTCGGTTCCCTCTAAGGGCATGTACCTCGGTTGCAGTTTGTCCCTGGCCCTGGTTGGGTCATGCTGGTGGCAGCCACTTGATGTGTCCCTTTCATGTCGATGTTTCTCTCTTTTTCTCTCTTCCTCTCTCTCCCTCCCGCTCTGTCTGAACAAAAAATGGAAAAATGTCCTCGGGTGAGGATAAAAAAAAAAAATCGGCCCTGGCCAGTTTGTTCAGTTTGTTTAGAGCGTCAGCCTGTGGACCAAAGTGTCACCAGGTCAATTCCAGTCAAGGGCATGTACCTGGGTTGCATGTTCACTCTCCAGCCCCAGTCAGGGTGGTGCAGGAGGCAACCAATCGATGTATCTCTCTCACATTGATATCCTTCCTCTCTCTCTAAAGAAATCAATAAAAAAAAAAAAAACATATCCTCTGGTGAGGATTTTAAAAAAGAGCAATGTAGTCTGGCAAAGCCAAGGAAGGCTACTCTGAGGGGATGGAGATGGGTGGGATTTCCATAAGGAAAGAGAGGCATTTCAGGGAAGCCACACACAGAGTCCTGAAGAAAGAACAGATTGGTGGTTTGTGTGTAGTTATCATTATTCATACCTGGAGTGCTCAGGCGTGACACTAAGCAATAGAAAACAGACAACCTGTCGTCAGGGAGCTCTAGTCTGGGAAGTGGAGATTGGAGAGAGTTCCTAAAAAAAATACAGGTGATAGGTATTATTGCACAAGAATGTAAGCTCCCAGAAAGTAGAAAACTTATCTGTCCTGCTCATCACTGTACCTTCAGTACCCAGAACAGTGCCGGGCACAAATTAGGTGCTCAGCAAATTCAGATTCAATAAAGGACTGCTACAATGGAGATACAGAATAATAGTAATGCTGATAGTTACCATTTATTAAGCACATACATATGCCAGACAATATGCTAAAAGTTTTACATACGTTATGTTATCTGACCCTCCAACATTTCGAGAGTATTATAATTATCTCATTTTACATATTTGGGAACCAAGGTTTCCTAGAAGTAACACTTGCCTCAAGGTTACCTAATCAGCAAGTAACAGAAATTAAACTTGAATTCATGACTGCCTAACTTCACAGTCCACCTTCTGCACCTGGAGTCTGTTCAAAATACTATTAGGGCAGCCCTGGCCGGTTTGGCTCAGTGGTTAGTGCTTCCGCCAGAGGACCAACGAGTGCGGGTTAGATTCTGGTCAGGGCATGTACCTTGGTTGGGGTTCGTCCCTGGCCCTGGGGGGGGGGGGTCATGCGGGAGGCAACCAGTTGATATGGCTCTATGCCACATCAATGTTTTTCTCTGTCTCTCTCCCTCCCACCTACTCTATCTGATAATAAGTAGAAATATATCCCCGGGTGAGAAATTAAAAAAAAAAAAAAAGTACTAGGGGAAGTTTGTCTGATAGCTTATTGGTAAGTGCAGGGAAAGACCTAAGATAGGGGAACTACTGCAGTAAAAGCAGCATACAGTAATGAGTATGAACTAAAGTGGTTATAGTGGGACTGGAGAAGAAAGGACTTACTTTCTTAGCACCTCAGAGGGCTTCTAAATAAAGCTCAGGGCTTGGTGACTTACTGGATGTAGAAGATGACTAGGTGTCTTGCCTAGAATGAGAATGCCGGTAACCCCGAGAGAAATAGCTTTTCTCTAATTCCTAGTTCGACAGTACACTCGACATTCTAGCTGTATAATCAAAGTCTCTAGGTGTGCTGGTCACACACAGTAAGGGCAAGCCAGCTTGAAAAGCCACTGAACAGGGCAGAATAATAAAAGCATGGAGGACGCACAAACTGACCATC